CAAATTTTACAACTGAGGCAGTTCTTACAGCCTCCTCTCAACTAGAGTCAAGTGAAATTATAGTATATTGCCAAAACTTCAATCGCATGAGAAGTGCATTGAAAATGAACGAAATCCATAAAAAAATGTAGGTTGCTCCTTTGCAATAATTTTGGGTACTGAAACTAGTTGGGACGAATGTGTTAGAAGTGAGGAAGCATTCGGAAACAATTACAATGTTTTCAGGGATTGTGATTTGCATTCGTTGGAAAAGAAGTCAGGAGGTGGAGTTCTTATAGCTATTTCTACAAAATTTAATGCTGAAATCATCGCAGCTACAAAGTTTAGAGAATTTGAACATGTATGGGTGAAAGTGCATATGGCTGGTGAAACACACATATTTGGCTCGGTGTATTTATCCCCCCCCCCCCAACAATGCCCGTAAAGAAACATATGAAAAGTTTTTTAATATTGCTGAAGAAATTACAGCTAGTCTTCGGCCTGAAGTAAAAATTCATATTTATGGAGACTTCAACCAATTGACTTCATTCCAGACTCTGAAAAGGATACTATTTTACTTCCAATCGTTGGGGAAAATGAAACACTTCAGTTTATTTTTGACAAAACTGCTTGTTTAGGTCTTAACCAGATAAATCATATAAAAAATCAGCAAAATTGCCATTTAGATCTGTTACTGACGAATATTCAGGAAGATTTCTGTGTAACCGATTCACTTCATCCATTATGGAAAAACGAAGCGTTTCACACAGCAATCGAATTTTCTTTATTTGTGCATGAATATAAAAGACCATACGATTGTGAGTATGAAGAGGTTTTTAATTATCAATCTGCAAATTACGAAAATATTAAATTTAGATTAAGTAACATAAATTGGCAAACGATTTTTAGGAATGAAGAAAATGTTGAAACTGCTGTTGACGTCTTCTACAAAATAATATTTGAAATAATATTTGAAGAAGTTCCATTAAAAATAAGAAAACGTCAAAGTAACTCAAAACATCCTGTTTGATATAACAGTCAAATTATAAACTTAAAAAATCGAAAGCAAAAGGCACATAAGGCTTATAAAAAGCAAGGCACCAATGAAAATTTGGCAAACTATTTGCGTATTTGCGATGAATTAAATATGACAATTGATATTGCATTTGAGGAGTACAATTCAAGAACCAAATTCGAAATAAAATCTAGTCCAAAAAAATTCTTCAATTACGTTAAAACTAAAATAAAATCAGACAATTTTCCATCAAAAATGCATTTTAATGAAACGGTTGGTGACAACGCAGCCGATATAGCGGTGCCGGTGGTGTAGTGGTAAGCGTGATTACCTCTCACCCCAGCTGGCCTGGGTTCAATCCCAGTCGGCGCCGCCGGGATGTTCTGAGGCATAACATCTCTGATCACGCCTTCCTTCGGAAGGGAAGTAAAGCCGTTGGTCCCCGGTTCATGAGTTGATGGGTCGATAGGTAGGGTCCAGGTGTGGGAGCTGCCTCCCTGGCGTCGGTAGCATTGGTGCTCAGCACGGAAAACAAGATCGACGGAAAACAAATCAAAGAAAAAAAAAAAAACGCAGCCGATATCTGCAATCTATTTGCTACTTCCTTCCAAGAAATTTACACCTCTTTTTCAGAAGATGATCGTGATCGTGATTATTATGAATTCATCCCAGAATGTATTAGTGATATACATGTTAATCAAGTTAATGTGCAGGATATTATGGCAACTTTGAACAATTGGACCAGACGGAATTCCACCAGTATTTATGAAGAGCCTGGCACTGGTACTTACAGCTCCATTATTCTGGCTTTTCGATATGTCACTAGATTCTAGAATCTTCCCAAAAACATGGAAAAGCTCTTTTCTAGTGCCTATTTTCAAAAGTGGAAAAAACTGACATACAAAATTACCGAGCAATTATTTCCTGTATCGCAAAGCTTTTCGAAGCGATCGTCAATTAAAAACTATTCAATCAGATCAAAAACAGAATCACTAACATGCAACATGGTTTCTTCAAAGGACGATCAACTAATACAAATTTACTTGAATTCGTCAACTATTCTTTGGTTGTAATCAATGGCCATGTAGAAGCACTATATACCGATTTTAGCAAAGCATTTGATCGTATTGATATACCCATGCTTCTTTTCAAATTACAAAAAATAGGAATTGAACCTGGACTTCTCAAATGGCTTGAGTCATATTTAACTAATCGCCAAAAAATAGTTAGATTCTAAGGTGAAAAATCAAACCCTATTACTGTTACTTCTGGAGTCCCCCAAGGCTCGCATCTAGGCCCTCTTTTGTTTATTTTATTTGTAAACGACATCTCCTCTATTCTTAAAAACATAAAAGTTTTAATCTATGCGGATGACATGAAGCTTTTTCTAGAAATAAGAAATAAAGAACATATACAGACATACCAGATTGAAATAAACTTATTCTATGTTTGGAGTAACAAAAGCCTCCTACAACTAAACGTTCAAAAATGTAAATCAATAGCTATTAGTAGAAAAATAAACAAACCAGAAAATACAATTGTATTAGGAAATCAGGCAGTAGAAAAGCGTGAACGAGTTAGGGATTTAGGAGTTATAATTGATTCAAAACTAGCATTCACTGATCATTATAATACAATTATCAACAAAGCAAATAATATGCTTGGCTTTATCAAACGATTCAGTTACAATTTTCATGACCCGTATACAATAAAATCACTGTACATTTCATATGTAAGATCAATACTTGAATATTGCAGCATAATTTGGTCACCTTTTTCATTCACGCATGAGGAACGGTTAGAATCAGTGCAAAAGCAATTCTTACTATTTGCTCTTCTTAAATTAGGTTGGACAAGATTTGAAGCACGCTGCATGCTCATCAACATTCAAACATTGAAAGCGCGTCGTGAATTTGCAATGGTTTCGTTTGTGAACGATATAGTATCGCATCGAATTGACTCAGTAGAACTGTTATCAAAGCTTAATTTTTAAATACCTTCTCGGCAACTGCCGAAATATATTTACTACAAATCACTATCGCACAAATTATGCCAACTTTGGTCCACTAAATCAAATTATGACTGCTTACAATAAACATAGTAAAGCTATTGGTTTTATAATGACAAAAACCAGATTAAAGTAGTACTTTAATTCTATTCGTAATTTTAACACATGACTTGTAACTTGTACAAAATGGTCTACATCTGATTGACGACAAAATAAATAAATAAAATAATTTGTCCAGAATAGATCAGACACAAACCAATTCATGACTTATGCATGTGGGTTCATGGATTTGCTAAATATTCCCCGCGAACACTGAGCCAGATGTCAGTAGTGTGCTTTGGTCAGAAATTTTATTGTTTTTGCTCTGGTCATACTTGTCGGTTTGTCGGTGGTAAACCAACTGTTACATGTCCGGGTATCTGTCATGTCTTAACTGAATTAACCTTTACACTCTCAAGAGACAGTATTACCAACAATCAATACGAAACTAACGATTTTAAATTGGCTCACCACTTTAGTAGCCTATTGGTCCCAAGCAAACGATTACCGTACCCTATTCTAGTCGAAATTCTAGTACTACGCAATGTTTGTTTTGATTCGCTATGAAAGTTTGACAGATAAAATGAGGGGTTATTGGTTTTTCCTATGTTTCGAGGGGTGAATCGATTAGCTTGGGACCGAAGAGAGAACCAGAGCTGAGCCAAAAAGTTGAGCATGTTATTTCGGGACCTTCTAGTCTTAGAGTTACCTCTATGGTATTACCAACGATCAATACGAAACTAACGATTTTAAATTGGCTCACTACTTGACTAGCCTATTGGTCCCCAGTAAATCGATTAACGTACCCCATTCAAGTCGAAATTCTAGTACTACACAATGTTTGTTTTGATTCGCTATGAAAATTTGACAGATAAAATGAGAGGTTAGTGGATTTTCCTATGTTTCGAGGGGTGAATCGATTCGCTTGGGACCGAAGAGAGTACCAGAGCTGAGCCAAAAAGTTGAGCACGTTTCTTCGGGACCTACTAGTCTTAGAGTTACCTCTATATATATATAGGACACTGCTTAACAGTGCTCGTAAATGCATGAACCCTCGAGCCTCGAAATAATTATCTTTAGTTGACTTAGTACCTTCTTAATTTTAAATCAAGGTTCAGTAAGCTGAATCACTGATTACAGATTAGCATAACCATAAATTGCGGGTGGTGATGTTTCCAGAACAAAGATTTACTTATTTTTCCGTTATATATATTAATGTACAATCATATATGGTTGAACAGCGAACCGACTACTTTCCAATGCGATGATATAAAAGAACGCTACATAGAAATTGACCTTCAATATATCTAACTATTATTACCATGAGCATGCGAATAAGTACAGGTAATGCTTAGTTTCATACCTCGTTAGAGTGCAATAATAGAGCTGCAAAATCCACGTAGCTTTTATATTGGCATTTTCCTACTCAACGTACATGCGCTAGCTGTAATGAATTTGTTTCTCTAATAGCTTATTTTGAGCATATACCTATAGTAGTACGAGGTAGTACGTACAGATAGTTCTGAAAGAAAACGAATTTTTATTCACAATCATTTGGTGTTAAATGCAAAACTTATGACATTTAAATAATTTTTATATACGCAAGAATCAACGTCCTTGTTTTGCCTTGACTCAAAAATGTGACAAATCCAAACAGTGTTTCGACATGAATTTCTTAAGATTCCCTCACTAAAATGGTTCAATGACGTTACCTCTAGATGATCAGTCGATTAGTGGCGCGAAAAAAAAAAGATAATTAATCCTCGCTGCTGAAGGCCAAACAGCGGAATCGAAAGACCGTAGTACAAATTTCAAACTCTTTCCATCGACGATGCACGTGGATCTCCACCATGCATGTAGGTAGGTATCAACCACGACCGCAACCGAACCGAAACCACATACCCAGGCTTAATAGCGTAATGCAAAAGAATTAGCATTTCAATCTAGCTTCAACTCTTGCCGCGGTAAGACACTAAAAGCGAAAAAGTTTCGCGAAAGCTTTTTAGTAACCGGCTTCTAGGACAGTTCAAACACATAGTCTAAGTCTAGTTCCCATTACTGATCGTGTAGATACCTAAATAAATATAGAAACAAATCTCGGAGTTAGATGGAATACCTGCTTGAGAGCGTAGATGAGTGTGCATTTGTGTTTCTGCGATCGTAGTAGTGATATTGAAAGTTAAATTCTCGAAGCAATATTTTCCTTCGTCCTCTACCGTGATCTCAGCGACAAAAGAGAGAGGAATCGTATTAAAATTGAAATAAATGATGACTGCGGTTCAGTGCTAACAACTCCACAATAAAAACAGATCAAGGATTTTGTACTACAGTTACCAAGTTAGTTGTGGGCAAACTTAATTCGCGTGAGTGAACAACTAAAAACAAGTCATCTACACGGATAAGTATTTTAAAGATAACCGATACATTACAGCGGCAGTACATGCGACGAAGCCCTGAACAATGAGATTGGTACGCGTTAATAATATTGTGATAGTGATTCTTGTGTTGTCAATAGTGCATCATGCGCAGTGCCGTAATAACGACTTGATTGAAAGTAAAAGTGAGAAACGACGCAATACAGGCAGACTAAGAGCAAGAAAATCTAGCGCAAGGATTGTCGAGAAAACCATCAGTAAGTGGATTAGATAACGTTTAGTGCACTCAGCACTACGCTTTCTGTTAATTGTGACACGCTATTGAGCCAAGCGTAGGCAACTTCATTCTGGTTCTCGTGCTAGTAGAACCACAAGTGGTTAAGTTAAATAATTAGTCACGATATCTGCGAATTTTCAAGTTTGAAATTTGCTAGGTGCAATCAACGTGTGTTAATAGGATAAATAGTATCACCAATTTCAGATGTGTAGCACCCGTGTGGTGCAGAACACATGGGCTTTGATTGATATTTATACCTTTCTTTCATCAATTCAAATTCTTTAAAGTGCTGGTTCAAGCCATTTAAGGACCTGATAGTAATCTGTTGGAATCCATCCGATGGAGCTCGATGAAGGAATTTGATACTAAATTTCAGTCTGTACCTTTGATTTTTTATGTTTGCAGTAGGGCTTAGATCAAATTTTGGGCCTACTAAGCACAACCTGCCCTTTGCCTCTATTTTTCAAACGGATTTTTTTTTTCACCTGCGTATCGTAAGATTTGGTTAAGAGTAACACATTGTTGAGATATTATTAAAAAAAAAACTAACACTGCTTTTGACTCCAAACTCGGCCTACGGATTGTACAAACTTAGATTTTTTCGCCGAGATTGGCACCACCGAGCAGGCTCGGAATTTATTTTTGCTGAGATCTCAGCAAAATTTATGTTTGTTAGCCTAGATCTCGGCAAAATTCCCATTTGTTAACTGAATCTCAGCATATTTTTCACTGAGATCCAGCAAAATAGATCGCCGAGCTGCTCGGTGGTGCCCATCTCGGCAAAAAAATCTAAGTGTGTAAACTACACACTTAGATTTTTTTGCCGAGATGGGCACCACCGAGCAGTTCGGCATTTTATTTTGCTGGATCTCAGTGAAAAATTTGCCGAGATTTAGCTAACAAACGGGAATTTTGCTGAGATCTCAGCTAACAAACATATTTTTTGCTGAATTTCCAGCAAAATAAAATGCCGAGCTGCTCGGTGGTGCCCATCTCGGCAAAAAAATCTTAGTGTGTAGGCCTACCGCATTGAAACGCCATTGAAACGCAATTAAATTCACTTCGGCCTATCTGATAAGGATAAAAATTGATTCGGTCAGACCTCCTCTTTTGTTTTTGAGAATAATGGGTGCAAACATTCATAGATATATTTATATCTATATATATATATATATATATATTTTTATTTATATATATATATATATATATATATATATATATATATATATATATATATTGTGCAGCATAGATCACAGCTTAAACAAAGGCCGAACAATCATTGATGTCTAATCGGCACGCAGTAAGGATGCTCTTCATGCATGATTACAACATTATTATTATTCAAATCAATTTATTCTTTTACAGAACAAGCCGAACATTGCTGTTGGCCATGGAGGAGATTCCATCGCGTGTGTCCATGTAAGAATAAACGGGATCCTCAGAACCGAAGGGCGATCAACTTCATAAATCAGCTGAATTGTAAATACACACTTAAAAAAATACACCAAAAATACGCTAATGTGTACACGTTAAATCTAAAATGCCTTAAATAAAATACACAAAAATACCTCGAAAATACTTTGTACACGAAAAATACATTTCATAATGAATTTAATAAACTTTAACTTATAAATACACATATACGGAAAAATGCTAAATGCACCTTTTCAATTCAGGTAGTTGAATCGAAAATACTCAAGTTGACAGCCCCTCGCTCAGAACCAAAACCAGAACTGGTATCAGACCCGGTGTATTTTACTACTTCTGAGCTAGTTGCACGATCGAACTAAAGCTACACAGCCACGTCTAACTCTTCGACTCGGCTTCGAAGGGCAGCCGGTGCAGCGTGGTATTTCAATCATAGAAACCGTAAACCTGGTTCACGATCAACTTCATAAATCAGCTGAATTGTAAATACACACTTCAAAAAATACACCAAAAATACGCTAATGTGTACACGTTAAATCTAAAATGCCTTAAATAAAATACACAAAAATACCTCGAAAATACTTTGTACACGAAAAATACATTTCATAATGAATTTAATAAACTTTAACTTATAAATACACATATACGGAAAAATGCTAAATGCACCTTTTCAATTCAGGTAGTTGAATCGAAAATACTCAAGTTGACAGCCCCTCGCTCAGAACCAAAACCAGAACTGGTATCAGACCCGGTGTATTTTACTACTTCTGAGCTAGTTGCACGATCGAACTAAAGCTACACAGCCACGTCTAACTCTTCGACTCGGCTTCGAAGGGCAGCCGGTGCAGCGTGGTATTTCAATCATAGAAACCGTAAACCTGGTTCACGAGAGTTAACAGCAACAGTAACTTGGAGAACAGAAGCTTCAACACGTGTTTAAAGTCAAAAATTGGGGAGAGCTTTGAAGACTACACCCAACTGGGGGATGTATGATTCGCTTACAATTATGTGTGATTCATCATCAGAGGATGTTAGTGGAGGCCGCATAAACCAAGGATGCGATATACCTAGATGCGGTCCAATGCAAGAAAATTGGAGACCAAAAAATGTGGAGTGTACTATGGTATTAGTGAGTGAAATTAATTATATTGTAATAATTATGCGATTATCAGACCTGTGCTTTCTCCACTGCTCTTTCCATGCTTCTGAATCTGGATAGCCTAAAAGCGAAGACAACAAATCAAGAAGACTGGCAACTCTTCCATTTTCTCATATGAACGCTATGAGACAGGTATAATCGCGTCATCTGCCGCTCAAAGGTAAATGCTTCGAACGAATTTGATAGCAAAGATTACATCCTCAGAAGAAAGGTTTGTGTATTTGCTCATTTTTCTATGCGTTGCTTCCATCTTCACTCAAGCACAGCGCTATTGTATCTGTCGCTTGGATTCTGGCAAAGTTGCCAGTCTTCTTGATATGATGTCTTTGCTAAAGGCAAGGACAAAGCGCTCATTTCCTCTCATACTCGACTTCGTTTTTTCTACTGGAGAGATTCGAGGCAAGTGTGTGCGTCGTTCTACAATGTTACGAATAAAAAGCTTACTGGTATAGTCAAAAGCTAGATACAACATGAAATAAAAAAAAGACAAAAAACCATTACATCGCCTGCAAGATCAACTTCTAACATTCGCTGTGATGTTCATGAGCAGAGGATGATAGGAAATGGTACTAACATTCATTGTAATAAATTTTTGGTTTGCGTGTAGGATGCATCAGGAGCTACTTGTCCTGCGTGACATTCCAATTTGTGAACGAAGCCAATCGTGCATATTTACATTCCCATGTTAGTTAGATTAATGATGAGTGGTTATATTTTTAATCTAACCATGTAGTCATGACTTGCGGTGCCCTGAAACAGAAAAACTATCAGGATGTCTAACAACAAACGAATTGCATCACGCGGAACGGTCGATCATTCTGTCAGTTCAAGCGGAATCGTTCTCGGACGAGATCCGAAAGCTGTCGTCTGGTGTATCAGTGGGTCGTAATTCTCCGTTGCGGTGGTTCAACCCACAAATTGATGAAAACGGCATCCTACGGGTCGGTGGAAGACTGGCTCACTCCGAGGAATCGCAGCAAACAAAGCACCCGATTGTTCTTCCAGCTAGGCACAAGTTCACGGAGCTGGTAATTTGCCACTATCATCAGCAATACCTTCACGCTGGGGTGCAATTACTCTTAGGTACCGTTCGACAACGATACTGGCCACTTGGAGGCAGAAATCTAGCGAGGAAGATCGTCCATCAATGCCAGCGGTGCTTTCGGGCAAAACCTTCGATCATTCAGCAGCAAATGGGGGAGCTACCAGCTGCTCGAGTCAACGTTTCGAGGCCGTTTTCGAAGACCGGCGTCGATTATTTCGGCCCTATATACCTGCGAGCCGGTCGAGGACGAAAACCAACCAAGGCATACGTTGCACTTTTCGTGTGTATGGCCACGAAAGCCGTCCATATGGAGCTGGTGTCGGATATGTCGACGGAACGGTTCATGCAAGCCTTACGAAGATTCTTTGCGCGTCGAGGGCGTTGCACAGACGTTTATTCGGACAACGGTACCAATTTCATAGGAGCGCGAAACCAGATTCAGGAGTTGTTTACGTTGCTGAAAAATAAAACACACCGTGAGACGGTTTCCAAGGAATGCGCTAATGATGGAATATATTGGCATTTCAACCCTCCAAGTGCACCACACTTCGGCGGGCTGTGGGAGGCAGCGGTGCGGTCAGCAAAGTTTCACCTATTAAGAGTTCTCGGTGGTAATCCAGTGGTACACGAAGACTTCATCACTTTGTTGACTCAGGTGGAAGGATGCCTCAATTCGAGGCCATTGATGGCTCTCTCCGATGATCCTATGGATGTAGAGCCACTAACGCCAGCACACTTCATAGTTGGTGGACCACTTCAAGCCCTACCAGAACCAGATCTCGGTAACATCAAGTTGAATAGACTAACTCAATTCCAGCTTGTGCAGCGACAACTCCAGGATTTTTGGAAACGATGGCGTCATGAATACCTCGCACAACTTCAAGCTCGATCAAAACATTGGAAGCCAGCAGTAGAAATTAAGATCGGCAAACTTGTTGTCATCGTGGATCCTAATCAACCACCTATACAATGGAAGATGGGCCGTATCCAGGAGCTGCACCCAGGTGTGGATGGAGTCACTAGAGTCGTTACAGTGCGAACGTCAACCGGTTCATTGAAGCGACCAGTAGCAAAGTTATGTTTATTACCAATGAGAGACGAGGAAGAATAGGGACAAATTCGATAGATTCCATCCAGTGCATCGAGAGAGGTTGTTTTTTTCTTTATTTTCAGAAGTCTCCCGGACACTTCAGGGTGGGTAAGGATGTCTGAGAGTTACATAATTACCAAATCAACGGATGCAGCCAGCCACAAGCACACTCACCGCATTGCAGGGACTCCACGAGCGATTTAAACGGTTGTGTACTACTGTGGTAACTACGGTTGTGGTAGTGCACCGGTTCACACGGGCTCCCGAAATTCTACCACTACTATGCGGGCAGTCTGATGGTCATCGGTAGGAGAGTGTAGAAAACTGGGAGAATAGTCAGTAGAAATAGATCCGTCGTCGCGATCAGTGACAAGGGGCAAACCCTTGTTATAGTTTTTTTTTATTGTTTACTGTTAGCCTTAAGAATAAATGTACGAGTGAATAAATAATGTAGTGTCGTTTGTTAAGCTTAAATAAATTCGTGTATTGTGTGAAGAGTGTGTTTGATTGCTGCATGTGAAGAAGGATCTGCCGATGACAAGGATACAGGAAGGATAAGGACAGGAAGGATAAGGATCAAGGAAGCAAAGGACGATTCGTTCAAGAAGGAGGTACGTTTTCTGGTGAAGGTCGTGTGGAGGTCGAAACCAAATCGGTCGGACAGGTTTCCGACATAAGCTGCCTGCCCCGGTAGTTCAGCTTAACAAACGACACTTGAACCACCGCAACGGAGAATTACGACCCACTGATACACCAGACGACAGCTTTCGGATCTCGTCCGAGAACGATTCCGCTTGAACTGACAGAATGATCGACCGTTCCGCGTGATGCAATTCGTTTGTTGTTAGACATCCTGATAGTTTTTCTGTTTCAGGGCACCGCAAGTTGTTCAGGAAGCGCAACCAGTATGCGGTCATCCGAATCAATTTCGTAAATGTGGAAAATTTTGATAAATAATCCGAAATGAACCCAGATTTCTTCGACGAAACACAAACCATCGCATTGCGTCGTCTCTCCAAATCCTTCTCAGTTGGGTTTTCTGCCGCCTTCGGCCATTCTTCCGGCGAATCCTTCAACCAGGTAGGCCCATGCCACCACAGATCGTTTTCTAGAATGTTGTTGGGCAAAATTCCACGGGATATTAGATCAGCAGGGTTCGTAGTTCCCGGAACATGCCTCCATTGTCTCCGTTCAGTCAGTCCTTGAATTTTCGCAACTCTATTGGCAACGAAAGTTGTCCATGTTCCTGCTGGTGACCTGATCCAGTGGAGTACGCAAGTTGAATCTGTCCAGAAATGAGCGCTACCTTCTACCTTCAGCGATTCTGCTACCTTTTCCCAGAGTTGGGCTGCCAGGAGTGCGCCACACAGCTCCAACCGTGGTAGAGATTGAACCTTGAGCGGTGCTACCTTTGATTTCGAAGTCAAAAGGTGCACCGAAACCGTACCATTTTGTTCTTGACTCCGAACATAGATTGTCACACCATAAGCGACAATAGAGGCATCCGAAAAGCAGTGGAATTCTACGGATACCGAACCTGGAGCAACCACACACCTTGGAATCCGCACATCGTTGAGCGAAGGGATTTGCTCGTGGAATGTTCGCCATTCCTTACCCACCGTCTCGGGCAGTGGGTCATCCCATTGTAGATTGTGGCCTTGTTCGTTCTTTAAGCACCAGAGCCGCTGCATGAAGAT